GGAATCTGAATGGTATGGGAGGATGGGTTTAGAAGGAGTCAGGGAGACCAGTAAGGAGGCTTGGCAGTAGTTCACATAAGAATCGGTGGTGGCTTGAGCTAAGAAGGTCATGACAGACAAGGAGAAAAGTGGACAGATTCCAGATAATGTTGAGGAGTTGATAGGACCTGTTGGATTAAACACATAATATGAAAGAAAGAGACAAATTAAGAATGACTCCTAGATTTTTTGCTTTGAACGATGGTGTTCTATTACCCCATGTTGGAGACCCTAACTCCTAGGATGCAGGGCTTCCTCCAGGGCAGAGCTATGTCCAACTTAAGTATTTCTGAGTGATAGACAGAGTCAGATAGCCCTTCCTTCCCTTCTGGCAATAGCACCACCCCAACCCCAACCCGTTCCCACCTTAAGGTATTTTAAAGTGATTTTTAATGGAAGACTCAAAGTTGTTAGTAACTCATTCTCAACTCTCTGGCTATCATGCTGGCCCTGCCTGTGGCATGGCTCCGCTCATGGCCGTCTTCCCCTGTGCCTAGTAGGGTCCTCAGGCTCAGCTTCAAACAGCTGTCCTCCTTCCGTGGGGGCTGAGCAGCCTCTCTTCAAACCCCCATCTCTTCTTGGGCTTTATCTGTTCTGTCCAGATTGTGACAGCTACAGACTGTCCAGTCCTCCTGGGATTCTTTCTCTCCATACTTATTCCTAAAAGCCTTTTATGCTTCCCTAAGACTTTCTCAAGGTTTCATGAGGAATACCCCCCACCTACTTCATGACTTGATAGTCTCAGAGAGCCACTCTGACCTTAGATGAGCTTCACCTGATCTCTCCCTCTGTAGGCGAACCCCTTCCCACAGAGAGACGGCTCCTGAACAGCTGTATCCAGGCCCGGAGGAAGTGCCAGGCTGATCCCACTTGCAAGGCTGCCTACCACCACCTGGATTCCTGCACCTCTAGTATAAGCACCCCATTGCCCTCAGAGGAGCCTTCAGTCCCTGCAGACTGCCTAGAGGCAGCACAACAACTCAGGAACAGCTCTCTGAAAGGCTGTACATGCCACCGTCGCATGAAGAACCAAGCTACCTGCCTGGGTATCTATTGGACCATTCACCGTGCACGCAGCCTTGGTGAGGCCCCCATCCTAGAGTGAACCAAGCTGGGGAAGATGGCTCTTGGGCATTGTTTTGTAATCCTGCAGGATATGGGCCACATGGTAGATTCTGATGGGGATAATAATGAAGCTCTGCATTTGACATCAGTAAGAGCTCCAGGAACAGAAGGGTATGGAGAAGAGGTGGGGAAAAGAGTCTTAACCCATAAACAGGCTCCAAAGACCTTATAATCCACAAGGTCAGAGAGACTGGGAGGTAGCATCTTGGTCCAGCCTTTAACAGAAAGGATACTCATTAACCAGACAGGAGACAGTGAGAGAGAGAAGGCACAGAAAGAGCCAGAGGGAGGAGCTGCCTTTGACTCTTTCCATAGACCCCTCTCTTTATTAGTCAGCTCTGCCTGGTTGTGGTACCGAAACAGTGACTTGCCGTGACAAGGTTTAGTTCTTTCTCATGTCCTGCATTGGCTGTTTCACGTGTCTTCTTCCTTCTGGGATCCAGTAGCCTCTATCTGTGGTGTTTCCTTCTCATGGCAGAAGGAAATGAGCATTGGCAGAACCAGGTGATATTTTTAAAAGCTTCTGTTCAGATCTTACGTACACTACTGCTTACATTCCACTGGCAGAGCAAATCACATGGCCAAGCCTGACAACACTGGAGTGGGGAGTGTGCTCTCCCGCAGGGAGATATCGAAAATCCCATGGCAGTAGGTGAGGATATACAATCTTATGGGAAGGGCAAAGAAGCACTGGAAATAATACAATCTACCATAGCCTACCACTTGGTCAAAATATCCATTCTCTTCTCTTCCACAAGTAAAATACAGCCACCCACTTCCTTGGAAGGAAGATTCCCTAAAAGTTCTATTCAAACATGACATCAGGCTTCAAGTCTAGGATCTCATGGTAGTTTCTGTATTGGGTCTGGATGTGGCTCCTCTTGATCTAGAAACCTGTGAACTAAAAAGGCAAGTCAGCTGCCTGCTGTACATACTCAGCGTACAATAATGGAACAGGGGCAGGACGATCACAACAAACACTCTCAGAAAGGGGAGGAATGGGAGGCACACAGCAGACATTGATTCACAGCAATCTGGAAATCCCACTAGACACATGCTGCAAATCCTGGGAATAGGGATTGTTCTTTAATAAGGCCCTGTTTTTGCTTGATGGGAGTAGTTGCCCTGTCTCCGGTTTGTCTCCTCTGGGAGGTCCTTCCTTTTCCATATTCTCTTTGGCCACATTTGAAAAGGGTACTGGGGACCACAGCCTCCCTGGGAACTGAGCAGCGTTCTCAGCCTGCTTCCTGCCTGAGGAATGTTGAGCATTTTAAGTCTCAAATAGTCACGGTCTCTTTTAATCCATGCTCGTAGCTCTTAGAAGCACAACACTCTCAAAACATAATTGCTTCTTACATCTTTGATTTCTATCATCTCGTGTGCCAGTAGCCTTTCCCAATTCAAGACATGCATCTTTCTAGACCTAATTAGAAGTACCTTGCCCTTATCAGGCTTCTGTGGAAGAGCCACTGCTTTAGTCTTTTTTCCCCTGAGTATATTTGTCCAACTGGCAGTATTTATTTGGTACCATCTCAATCAATTGAGATTTCCACAAATGGTTTCATAGCCACATACTTGATTTGGTCTTTTCCCCAAGGCTGAATTGTAATCAAACCTATCACTTAAAGCATTTTTTATTTTTATCTTTTACTTTGGAATATGAGAAACAGTTGCATTTCTTAATCCTGCAAGTCCTGAAATTTCTGGATTCTCTTTTCCATTTCCTCCCCACTTGTGATCTGGCCAGTTCTTTTCTGAGCTTATGTCTTTCTTGTAGTACCTTGCCGAATGCAGCCAACAGCAATCAAAACGTACTATTACATAGTAACCTTCCTCTCAGTTTCTTTCCCTTACAGCACAAGCTCATTCAGGGTATCATATTCCTTCCAAGTTATTGTGGCAACAATTTTACCAAATGCTTTGCCACGGCATAAGGACCGCCATCTTTCCAGCCCCCAGTAACAGCTTCTTCACCACCCACTGCCCAGTCCCAAAGCTAGTGCCACACATATTAGGTGTTTTTGTTACTATAGCACTCCACTTGTAGGTACCAATTATATTTTTAGTAAGAGTTTGCTAGGTTATGCTGCAGTAACAACCAACCAACCAACCCCCAAATCTCTGGCTTTCAACAACAAAAACGTATTTCTTGGTCATGTTACACACGTGCTGTGGGCTTCTGTGAGTTGGCTGTTTCTGTTCTACTTGTCTTCTTCATCTGAGGATCTAGGCTGGTAGAGGGAAAAGACTGACAGCAGAACCATGTGAGGGTTCTTAAGGCATCTGCTCAGGTGTGATTTACGCCACTTCAGCTCACAAGCCACAGGCCAGAGCACGTCACGTGGCCATGCCTGCCGTCAGTAGGGTGGAGAATTCTATGTCTCTCACAGGGGGGCGTGAAAGTTACATGGCAGCAGGTCGGAATATAAAATCATCACATGCGGTGGGGAGCAAATAATTGGAAATAACAATACAGCTTACCACACATCTTGTTCCTTGCTTTGTGCTCCTTATCCTAATCACTTTTCTTTCAGAACTTCCCCTGAGATGAGATCTCTCTGAATCCTCTCGCCTCCCTGCTTTGACCTTGGAAACTCCCAGATCTTCCTAAGAGTATAGCCCATCCTCTCCTGTTTGCCCGACAGTATCCATATCCCTCCTCTCCTAGAGATGCAGGCACAAAGGCTTCCTGGGAGACATCCCTGAAAGTTTACCTCCTTCACCTCTCCCTTCCAGCAAGATTAACCAACATTTACTGAGCACCTACTTCTTATAGGAACTATGCAGCAATTTTATAAGACCTAGTAAGTGTCTTTAAGGAGTGCACAGCCCCATGGGGGTGACTGAAAGATGTGTTTGCTTCAAGATCATTGTCTCTTTTTCTTCTGTTTCTCTCAGTCAGGGTCAGTTCGGTACCTGGCCTCACTCCCATTTTCCCAGTATGCCATGCATCTCCATAGCCAAGCGGTCAGGCCTGGAACAGAGAGTCTACCATCGTCCCTTCCCTAATAGCAAGAGAAAACAAGTCAGAGTCCCCTTGCCTGATTTCGTACCCACAGGCAATATGTCCAGTAGTTAGGAGCGACTCTGGAGCGGGTTAGTCCAGATTTCAAATCCCAGCTCCACTTCTTAGCTTATGTGAGCCTGAGCAAGTTACTTAACCTCTGTCATCCTCAGTTTCTTCTTACCTGCCCAAAGGTTTTTAGGAGGATGGAATGAGATTGTATATACATCTCACTTACACCATGGTGCCTGGCACACAGTGTGCTCAACCAATGGTAGCTTATACTATTCTTATCAGTGTATTTGTGGAGCCCAATCTACACGGTTATGGCCCTGCATTTTTCTCATCTCTGCGCAGCTGGCAGCTGGTTCGGGAGAGGCTGCGCCTTTTGTTTTTCTCCACTGGGCTCTCAGGTCCAGCCCAGCAACTTCAGCCCCTCCTGCTCCCACCCTACCCTGGCTCTCAGCATTCTGGTGCTTCCCACCTTGTCTCTAGGTGACTATGAGCTGGAGGTCTCCCCGTATGAAGATGCAGTGACCAGCAAACCCTGGAAAATCGATCTCAATGAACTGAACGTGCTCAAACCAGGTGTGGAGGGCAAGCCTAGGCTGGGGAAAGGGGGGCTGGGCCTGGACCCCGAAGGAAAAGTGGCTGGGGGGGGACACAAGCTGGGAAGCTTATAGGGGAAGAGTTTCTAGCCCACCAGGTGATAAAGAAGACTGTCAGGGTGGAAGTCTGAGCTGTGGTGCATGGTCTGGTCTCACAGGAGTCATCGAAAAACAACGGTTATTAGGGAGGCATTTGAAGAGAGCCCATTAGGGCTCCCTGGTTCCAAAAGGCGGGTCCCTGCAAAGGGTTATGGTGGGAGTGGCAGGAGTCTCAGGAAAAAATGTACTGAAATGGAGTATTTACCCACATTCATGGCAGCTAGGAAAGTAGCGTTTTTGTCCCTGAAGACTCAGAAATTGCTTGTTTTCAACCATTCTAATGGGATGGGCGAGGTGTTGGGCAGGAAAAATAGAGAGAGTCTGACTCCACAGAGGGGTGGTTCAGGGTGGGGAGCCATCAGTCTGGCAAGGACTGTGATGCATGTTTTTCAGGAAAGTGAGGGTGTGAGTTAATTGAGAAAGAACACACACACACATGCACTCTCTTTTTGAGACTGATATGAGCTTTGCTGTATAGTCAGTTCTATATATTAGAATTATCATTTTGAGAAAAAGACATAGAGATTTATAGACAAACTCCTAGTTACAAGGAATCAATGAATAACCTGTTCCAGTTGATTTCCTGGCTGCTGGAATATTCTATTAGAAATATCACATAATTTCCTAAGACTCAGAGTATGAAGAACAGAGTATGCATGAATCAGAAAATGAAGGATGGGCAGGTGACATTAAAACTGAACAGAATACACAGGTGCCAAGCAAACCAAAACCACACCAGAAATCTAAGTAGAATTCGGTTGCATCTGTTTGGGACATTCAGAAAGTGCTTTAGGATGTTTCAGGGCCTCTAGGCTGTGATTTCCACCACCAGATCTCACCGCATAGCGGTGAGGAAAGGGTTATGGTTATTTGAGCTTTCTGGGTGCTTGAGTTCTGGATAAATGATTGTTAGATGTATATAGATGCTGACGACGGTTATTCTTATTATTGGACTTAGTGAAGATAAGGAGTAGGATGGGGACGGCTTTGGAGTACAGATACAGTTTCTGGGCAGAGGGAAAGCCCTGGATTACGAGTGGCTTTATTCAGGACAGTCCTCCTTTTTCTGCTACCCTTACTACCTTTCTTGTCAAATCGGGGGTTTTCCGGGGTTCCCAGGGAGCCCGGGCTGCAGGCGTGCAGAGGATGCGGCCTGGTGACTTGGTTCCCCTTTCCCCCCAGACTGGGACCTCTGCCTCAAGTTCGCTATGCTGTGTACTCTCAATGACAAGTGTGACCGGCTGCGCAAGGCCTACGGGGAGGCGTGCTCTGGGCCCCGCTGCCAGCGCCAAGTCTGCCTCGGGCAGCTGCTCACCTTCTTCGAGAAGGCGGCGGAGTCCCACGCGCAGGGAATGCTGCTGTGCCCGTGCGCGCCCACCGACCGCGGCTGCGGGGAGCGCCGGCGCAACACCATCGCCCCCCGCTGCGCGCTGCCGTCCGCCGCCCCCAGCTGCCTGGAGCTGCAGCGCCTCTGCCTCTCCGACCCGCTGTGCAGGTGCGGCAGGGCCGGCAGGGTGGGCAGGGGCGTGGCACACGCCACTCCTTCCTGTGCCCGGGCTGGGTCTGACCCCCCAGGGAACTGTGCACCTACTGACACGCTGATGGCTTTGCCAAGCAGCCACCTTGGATATTTTACGAAACTTTTCTCAAAAAGAATATTTGGATTTTTTTTCTTTATGTAAAAACCTCAGAAAATATACAAAATGCATTTTTAAAATAGCTCAAAATTCCATCACTTGAAGATAATGTACCATACTTTGGGGAGCATTTCCTTCCAGGTTTTTTTTTCTATAACAAAAGTAGGCATTATGGGAATATATTCGTGTCTTGCATTTTTTCACTTGTGGTACATATCTCACAAGCATTTTTCTGTAGAGGCAGTATGGAGCAGTGGTAAGACAGGCTATGAAGTCAGACAGATGTCAGTTTAAATCCTGGTTCCCTATAATCTTGAGCACAACACTTGACCTAAAATTCCATCACTTAACGTAAGGTTCTGTTAGTCCTCTGTAAAAGCTGGGATAATAATGCAGACCTCATGGGATTCTGGTGAGAATTAAATGACATAATTTATGTGGAGTGCTTAGTTTACTGGTGCAGAGTAAGGCCTTCACAAATGGTGGTGCTTATTTTTTCATTTACTGTCCTTTAGAACTTGATCTTTCTTTTTTAAAAATTATTTATTTATTTTTGAGACAGAGTCTCACTCCGTCGCCCCAGGCTAGAGTGCAGTGGTGTGATTGTAGCTCACTGCAGCCTCAAACTCCTGGCTGGCTTCAAGGGATACTCCTGCCTTAGCCTCCCGAGTACTGGGACTACAGATGTGCACCACCATGCCTGGCTAATTTATCTATTTTCAGTAGAGACAGGGTCTCACTCTTGCTAAGGCTGGTCTTGAACTCCTGAGTTCAAGTGATCCTCTGGCCTTGGCCTCCCAGAGTGCTACGATTACAGGCGTAAGCCACTGTGCCCTGCCCTAGAACTTGATTTTTTTTTTTTTTTTTTTTTTTTTGAGACAGAGTCTCACTGTGTTGCCCGGGCTAGAGTGCCGTGGCATTGGCCTAGCTCAAAGCAACCTCAAACTCCTGGGCTCAAGCAATCCTCCTGCCTCAGCCTCCCAAGTAGCTGGGACTACAGGCATGCGCCACCATGCCCAGCTAATTTTTTCTATATATTTTTAGTTGTCCAATTAATTTCTTTCTAATTTTAGTAGAGACGGGGTCTCGCTCTTGCTCAGGCTGGTTTCGAACTCCTGAGCTCAAACAATCCGCCCACCTTGGCTTCCCAGAGAGCTAGGATTACAGGCGTGAGCCACTGTGCCCTGCCCTAGAACTTGAGTTTTAAGTGCATGCATTGTATTATTCCATTTTATGGATGCCCCACACTTTATTTAACCATTCCTTTATTGTTGGATATTTAGTTGGGTTTTTTGTGTTGCTATAAATCATGGTGCAATAAATGTCACTCTCATTATTTAATCTTTGTGCACAAATATAATTATTACTTAGGGTGTGTTGCTCCTAGTGCCATTACCAGATCACAGGACATGAAGATTTATAAGGTATTTGATACATATTCTCCAGGAAATCTGAAATTCTGATCTGGCTTTCTCTGCTTTCTCAGGACAAAATATTTGCCAAATCGAAGTCATCATCCATTCAAGTGACATTTGTTGATAATAACCTTGGTTTGCAACTTGGTTAATACTTAATTCTTTGTAACCTTGGGCAAGTTACTTAACCTATCTGACTACCACTTTCCTCATCTATAAACTGTCATGTAGTCAGGGCCCTTAATAATCGTAACACTAACATTTACTGAGTGCTTACGTTGGGCTGGATACTGTTTTAAGTACTCAACATGTATTAGCTCATCTAAACCTCACAAGAACTCTATAAGGTAGATTGTATTATTATTTTTTATCATCTTCAGTTTACAAATGAAGAAACCACAGCAGAGAGAGGTTAAATAACTTCCTCAAGATCAACCAACTAGTCAGCCAGGTTTGTTAGGTTAGGTTTGGTATGCAGGGGTTCTGGCCTAGAATCTATATTCTTTTTTTTTCTTTTCTTTTTTTCAATATAGACAGGGTCTCACGCTGTTGTCCAGGCTGGAGTGCAGTGGCACAATCATAGTTCACTGCAGCCTCAAACTCCTGGGCCCAAGTGATCCTCTCACCTCAGTCTCCTGAGTAGCTGGGACTACAGTCATATGCCATCACATCCTTCTAATTTTTTTACTTTTTTAGAGATGAGGTCTCTCTATGTTGCCCAGGGTGGTCTTGAACTCCTGGGCTCAAGTGATCCTCCTGCTTCGGCCTTCCAAAGTGCGAGGATTACAGGTGTGAGCCACTGCACCCGGCCCAACATGCTCTAATGCCTATGATTGTACTAGTAGTTATTAATATTGCATAACAGGTCCTGGGCCAGGTGATTAAGATATTGTCTCTGCCTTCAAGGAGTTCACAGTTGGGTGCGAGTAACAGAGAAGTAAACCTTAACATAAGGCAGAATGTAATGAAAACTGTAGAAATACATTCAGAAAAACATTCCATCACCCAAAGAAAACTAGCTTTACTTAATTACTGTAGGATGAATGTTAATAATAACAATAGCTAACATTTATTAAACACTTAATGTGTATTAGGTACTATGCTAAATGCTACACATGCATTTTTTTTAATTTAATTTTTAAAATTTATTTACTTTTTTAGAGACAGAGTCTCGCTATGTTGCCCAGGTCAGTCTTAAATTCCTGGGCTCAAGTGATCCTTCCACCTCAGCCTCCCGAGTAGCAGGGACAGTAGGTACATGCCACCTAGCCTGGCTTATACCTGCATTTTCTTATTTCATCTTCACAAAAATCCATGAGGTAGTGCAATTATCATCTCTATTTTACAGTTTAGGAAACAGGTTAAAGAAGCTGCCTGAGATCTCATAACTAGGGATTGTGGAGCCCTAGTTATGAGTGATACGCCATGGGGCCTGGGGTGAGGGTGCATTTAATTGTGATGGGGCAGGCTTCCCTGAGGAGGAGGCCCTGGGCCAAGCTCCGAAGGCAGAGGAGGATTTGTCATGACAGTGGGCATGCCAGGCTACAGGGGCAGCAAGGGTGAAGACTGTAGGGATCCTCCATGAGAATTCTTGAAATTTCCCTTCTTCCAGATCACGCCTGGTGGATTTCCAGACCCACTGCCATCCCATGGACATCCTGGGGACTTGTGCAACAGAGCAGTCCAGATGTCTACGAGCATACCTGGGGCTGATTGGTGAGGCTCAGGGCATGTATGGGAGCCACAGGTTGGCCAGACCTGAGGGGGAGAATGCTCTGGAGACTGAACCCAGATGGTGTGCTTCTGAGATGGGTGGGGGAGGATGGGAGCTGAAGTCAGGGTTAGTCTAGGCCCTGACAATGCCTTCCACCCTTCACCCCACAGGAACTGTCATGACCCCCAACTTTGTCAGCAACGTCAATGCCAGTGTTGCTTTAAGCTGCACCTGCCAAGGCAGTGGCAACCTGCAGGAGGAGTGTGAACAGCTGGAAGGGTTCTTCTCCCGTAACCCCTGCCTCAGTGAGTGTACTCCACTTGCCCATGGCTGGGCCAGCTGGATCCAAGGGAAAGGGAAAGAGTCAACTCTGTGGCCCAGACTGGTTCTGTCCATCTCCTTCAGACAAAACAGCCTGCTTCTCAGCATAGGCTTCCATCCCCCCAGGCTGGCCTTTCTTCCTTGTCCCTGAGAGACCCCGTACGCTGCCTGTCCAACCTGTCTGGGCCCCAGGCACAGCTCTAGCTCAAGGAACAAGCAAGCAGAATAAGACATCCATCTCCACCTCCTACCCACTTGCTCCCCTGTATCTAGGGTCCCTGTGGCATTCCCTTTCCTTCCTTGGGAACCTGAGAAACCCCCTGCCACCATGCCCTTCCAATGTGCCTTTTCTCCTGTCCTCAGCGGAGGCCATTGCAGCTAAGATGCATTTTCACAGCCAACTGTTCTCCCAGGACCGGGCAGACTCTACCTTTTCTGTGGTGGAACACCAGGTAGGGCCTCCTCTGTTACACCGCTCATTCCTTTACTGGACCAGCTGGGGAAACCCAAACCAGACAGACAAGGGCTTGGGTAGGAGGTTGCCCTCGTGATCACGAATACCATAGATCTCTAATGGACACCTCAGGGGAAGGGGGTTGTCTTGACCGAGCTTGAGGTAATGAAGGTGGTGAAGATGATCCCCCAAGCTGACTCTTCTATTTCTTCCACAGAATAAAAACCCTGCTCTGAGGTCACTGGCCTGGGTGCCCTCTCTTTTCTCCTGCACACTTACCTTGATTCTGCTCCTGAGCTTCTGGTAGCTGGATTTCCCTGGGGGCCCTATGCCCCTCCACCACACCCAGCCAGACTTGCAGCCTGCGAGGGGTGAGGAAAGGACAGCATCAGGAAGGAGGTGCAGTGCTCAGTGTGGTGACCCTGACCCCACCCAGCATGTCCAGTTGGCTCCAGATGAGGTCACAGTAGAAGCCAGGGGTTATTACCTCCAGATCCTTATTGGCTGTGTTCTCGTTCCCCCCACCCCTACCTGCACTTCTGATTCATGCTGTCTCTCCTTAGGACTTGGTGACCACAATTTAGCCATATCTGGTGGTGACCAGCTCTACCAAGCTCTCTCCTGATCCCTTCCTCCTGCCTACCAGGATCACCCAGAGTCTAGCACATCAGTCATTCCTTTGCATTTGCCAGGTAGGCAGGGCCGGGTGTTCTGAGGTAGCCTAGAAAGATGTTCTCCACTGTGAGGAAGGCTGGAGCAAGACCCCCACCCCCGGGTCTCCTCTGAATGGGAGTGGGAACCTGTTGCCTGCACTGCTCTGCCCCCGGATTCTGCAGAACATTTGAGCATCAGGAGCCGGAACCTTTGGGCCTTGCTTTATTCTGACTACTGTCCCAAAGTCCCCCTGGCCTCTTGGATCATGATTAAACACTTTGACTTAAGACTGTGCTCTTTTCCCATTTTCTCAAATTGTGAATTTATTCAAAACCAAAGGGTGTTACAGACAAAAGAGCACAGGCCAGGTGATGAAGAGACATGGCAACCCTACCACCAACTGCTATGTGACTTCAGGCAAGTCTTACAGTCCCTCTGTGTTCTAGACATGGAATTGGAAGAAAAAACTAGTTTATATGAGGCTGTGGACCTGGGATCTGTCCCAGCTGCAGCTATTTCTGGGATACAGCCTGGGTTCTGCCATAGCAGCTCAGGTGGGGCCCTTAGTCAACCATCGCATTTACTGAGCACCGGCTCCAGATCGTAACGGGGGCCAGAGGAAAGCAGAGATTGGTTCTTGATCTCAGGTAATTTGTAATCCTATTGGGATGAGGAAACACCCACCCGTGCAAACTATTATAGTTGGAAGAATATATTTATAGAGCTGTGGATATTTGTCTATTAATTCATTGACTCACTCTTTCAATAAGCATCTGATGAGTGCTGGCTCTGCAAGGCACTGTGCTGGGTGCAGGAGATTCCAAGGTAATGAGATGCAGATCCTATTTTCTAATCTTTTATGCATCAGAGCAGGGAAACAGACAAGATAGTCAGAGCAATGCAGTGTGATAAGTGCTATATAATAATTATGATAATAATCCTCATTGAGCCCCTACTGTGTGTCAAGTACTACTGTGTGCTGTGTGCATGTACATGCATTAATTCATTTAATCCTCCAGCAACACTTGACCTTGTCAGTCATAAGCTATGTGACCTTAGGCTTGACCTTTCTGGGCCTCACTGTCCATATCTGTAATACGGAAAAGCATGGAACCCACCTCACAAGGAATGAGATAATCCATGTAAAAGCATTGTGCCTGACACAGTAAGAACTGAAAAAAGTTAACAATTATAGTATATGGTTTTTCTAGAGAATTTGGACAATACAGACAGTTCTAAAGAAGAAAGCAAAAATTTTTTTTTTTTTTGAGACAGAGTCCCACTTTGTTGCCCGGGCTGGAGTGAGTGCCGTGGCATCAGCCTAGCTCACAGCAACCTCAGACTCCTGGGCTCAAGCGATCCTACTGCCTCAGCCTCCCAAGTAGCTGGGACTACAGGTATGCGCCACCATGCCCGGCTAATTTTTTTTTTCTATATATATTTTTAGCTGTCCAATTAATTTCTTTCTATTTTTGGTAGAGACGGGGTCTCGCTCTTGCTCAGGCTGGTCTCGAACTCCTGAGCTCAAACAATCCGCCTGCCTGGGCCTCCCAGAGAGCTAGGATTACAGGCGTGAGCCACCGCGCCCGGCCAAGAAAGCAAAATTTTTAAAATCCCACTCTCAAATTTCCTAATTGTTCCCTGCATATCTGTGACCTTGAGAATCTATGGATATGTATAACTTTACGTAAGTGGGGTCACATACTGCCTATCAAAGTATAAATCACAGATACCTTTCAGCATCCATGAGTGGCTGTTGCTCTTTTTATCGGCTGCATGACACGGACTTGTATGAATGCATATTCATACATTCATAGTTTATTTAACCAGTTCTGCATTGATGGGTATTTGGTTGTCTTCCTATTCTTCTCGGAGGGAGCCAAGTTTTAAGGCAGTGAGGGAGGCGACTGTGGGTAGGATATGCACAGAGCTGCCAGAGTGCTGGCTGGAATAGGCAAGCCTCTCTCTGTACCTTCTTATACCCATAGCCTGCCTGGCCCCAGGAAATGCTCAGCCAGGCTACCTCCCTGCAGACTCCACTGGGGCACCGGGTCGACCTTCATTCCTCTTTCTTCCCCTTCCAGGAAGATTTCTGAGCAGTCAAAGCCTTTCCATTTGCCTTGGCTCCATTAGCCTGGGCCTGGGGGTGTGAATGGTACAGTCATTCCTTGCTAAGTGCTTGAATTAGACTAATAGGTCATCTATGCTTTTCTCTGAAGAAGGTCCAAATTTCTGGTAAACAACCAGACCACTCTCCCAGCCCAGGGCCCAGAGCCAAGACCCTGGGTGGGAGTGTGTTGGCTAGACTAAAGCTTTTAGTGGCATCATGGCTGGCTGGGATGGTTAATGCCATTAGACTAGCTTCTGAGCAGCAAGGTGGGAAGGGCTGCTAGAGGCATTGGTAAATGGAGAGTGCTGAATTATAAGCTCTCCATGGTTGGGGTGGAGAAGACTGTTTTTTAAACAACTATCTCCAAATTAACCCATTTGATCATTCAGTCCCTTGAAGCCCAAATCCTCTTTCTTTTGTTAAAAGGGTTTATAAACTCCAGATGCTAACTGCTTCTTTGAGTTTCACTTCTTTTCTGTGAATGGGCTGTGCATATAAATATTAATAAAAATTGTGTGCCCTTTTTTCCTGTTAATCTGTCTTTTGTTAGTTTAATTTGAAGGCCTCCAGGCACTGAAAATAAGAGCTTTCCTCACCAACAGAAGCATTACCATTTCCTTGGCAGATAACCCTTCATCTTCCCCTCTATATCCCATCTGATCAATAGTCATAGGTTCTTGCCCTCATTACTCTCTTGGGATCTCTGGTTCTTAGAAATTTCAATCTCTTTTCAGTAGCTCTGCTGCTCTCTGGAGGAAGCCTTTTCATATCTAGAACCTGAGAAACTTGATTCATTAAATTTCCACCTTCAGATACTGAGCTGGTCAAGGACTTATCTGAGATACCGTGGGTGGGTGTGGAGGTGGAAGAGCGACAGAGACTAGTAATCGCCAACATGAAAGCTTAATGTATACGAGGCACCATGCTAATGGCTTAATGAGCATTATCTCATTTAATCTTCGTAAGTATCCTATTTTGTTTTCCTTATTTTACAAGGAGGCTTAGCGAAGCCAAATAACTTATCCAAGATTATAGGGCTAAGAAGTGGCTGATCCAGGAATGAAACCTCAATCTCCTTGACTCCCACGCACAATCTCCGATCCATGGTGCCTTTGTCCAGTGTTGGGATGAGCCCCCACATCCTAAATTACAGCAGAGGCCAGGATGAGGGGTGCAGGGTCCGAGGGAGCTCTTTCAGGCTGCAGGGATGGTTTCCTACAAGAGAAGCTGTTTGGGCTGGGCCTTGAAGAGTGAGTAGGAATTATTAGGCAGAAATGGGGGAGGAGTACCCCAGAGATCAGAATGATCAAACACAGAGACTGGAAGGGCAGGGAGGGAGGGAGGACAGCTAGTCTGCTGTGACTGGAGTTCTGCGAATGGAGATGCTCCCAGGTCTTCCTGTCACTCATCTCCCCACCCTACTTTCCCCACGGGAGGGTGTCTTCTGAGGACACACCCAAATACAGGGCCACTGGTGTGCAAGCCAGGCCCTATGGAATAGGCAGGAGTCCCAGGGAACTGGTGTGCAGAATTCTGGCTTGGTATGCTTGGTATCCCTGGCCCCGGGGGGGCTCTGTGGCCCCTCGACCCCTTGGTGACATCCAAGGGCAGAGGTCAGTGTGTGTGGGTGAGAGGATGAAGCGAGCCTGTGTCTGGGCTGGGAACAGTGACAAACAGGATAGGAGAGCCCATCCCCCACAGCAGGATGCCTGCAAATAGCCCTTCCCTGGTGCTGATCCTGCTACCAATTGCTGTGGTCAGCTGGTGTTAGGGCATTTGTTTCAAGAGCCTGGTCTTCCCAGACTGATTGGCTTTGGGTTTCTTCCTGCTGAGCCCCTACTGTTGGCTGGGTGGGGCTGGCAGGAGGTTGGCACAGAGGCGAAGACAGACAAATAAGAGTGAGGGACATCATTGTTTGAGAACGTGGTAAGCATGAATCACTGCACTGAGAGCTTCACA